CACCATGCTCAACTAATTTTTTTAAAGAAATTTTTTGCAAGGCAATACACGATATTGCCCAGGCTGGTCTGGAACTCCTGGGCTCAAATGATCCTCCCGCCTCAGCCTTCCAAAGTGCTGGGGTTATAGGTGTAAGCTACCATGCCGAGCCCCAACTCGTTCTTTGACTCCTTGAATGGCTGTGTTCAATGTTCTGTTCCCACCTAACATCAAGGCAAAATTACATGCAACTACCTTGACAGAGAGTTCCTGCTTGATAGAGTGGAAGAGGGAGCTGGGCACATGAAGTTCAACTGAGGGTAAATCAGAAAGTCCAAGTTCCAGAGGTACTAAGTGCTGGAGACCCCCTTTCCAAAATCCAGGGAAGCCAAGGGCACGAGGTCACATAGGCACATCAGAGCTCTGAAAGGTACATGGCTATACAAAGAGATCAACAGAAATCTTGACCTTTCTGCCCTAAAATGTATTCATTAAATATAAATGTATGGAGGGCCTACTGAGTCCTGGCTGCCAGGACCTGTGCTAGATGCTGATTATTAGAAGGAATAAGACATAGTCCTTGTCTTCAGAGAGCTTGGCTTTCCTAAAAACAGGGTGAGAACACTAAGCAAAGTCTTATAACTTAGGATATGTATACCAAATTAGAGGTGGTCAGGTACTGTTTACAGTGCTACAAAAGAAGACAGACAATCCCCACCTTGGTGGAGTTTACATTCAGGCTCACACACTAAGTGTAAACCTGGTTCTTTGAGAGCACAGACAAGGAATTACTTCCTTTAGGAAAGCTGGGAAAGACTTCAGAGGGAAGGTAATCAAATTGTTCTGGGCTTTAAATGATGCACAGCAGTTTACCAGTAAAAAACATATTGGAGGTTAGTGCTGAGAAAGGAATTTTAAACAGAAGAGCAGTATTTCAGAACGATGAGTTTGATATAGCCATAGTGCAGGGTTATTAGGAAAGTGAAGGGTGGCAGTAAAAATGGGAAATGAGTCCAGAGAATTAATTTAAGGAAAGGCTGTAGTGGGGCTCAAGTGGTGTCTTGGATCAGTGGAGTCATATGTAGAGGAGTTAGGATGTTTGGGTATTTCTTTTAAAAGTATCAGGGTAAGGACACTACACAATGAGCTCCTGAAGTATGTTTCCCAAACACCAGCTCCTTGAGCCCATGCTTTGATTGCCATCTACTCACCATGACTCTCCAGCACAGACTGAGTCAAATTCCATTGACTTACTAAATCTTTCTCCAATTTTTCCACTTCTCCTCGTCTCCATCTCTACCACTCTAGTCAAACCTACCTTCTTCTCTTAACTTGACAACTGTGACTGGGGTCTCCTACCTTACTTGCTTATACCCTACAATGCATACTCTACTCTATAGCCAGAGTAGTCCTTTTAAATGAAAATCTGTTCATGTCACTCCCCCGATTAAAGCCCATCAAAGGTTTTGCATCTGTATAATTCTACTTGAATGAGCATTCCCCCTGCCCATGTCTTCATATTCATCTTACGTTACATTCTCTGTGGTTGTTTGCCTTCCCATTGCAGTGGCCTTCTTCAAGTTTCTTGAATATGCTACACTCAGGGCTTTTGGACATGTCATTTTCTGCACTCCTCTTCCTAGTATAGTTCCCATTCATCATTTAGATCACAGTTAAAATGTAGCATATCAAAAAGACACTGCTATTCCCCCAGACTACCTCACATTGTTAAATGCTAAACATTTAACATTTAGTGTTATGACGAGTCGAGGCCATTAGATTAGAACATTTAGCAATTAATCTCTATTTTCCTATTAAATTGCAATTAATGTCCTAATAGCCTCAACTCTTCATAACATTTATAGTTGTACCAATTCACTGTATAATTGACATTTTGTGTCTTTCTCCCACCAGAACATAAACCTTATTAAATTAGGTGCTGTGTTTGCTTTTTTGCCATTGTATTTTTCAGGTTTTAGACCAATGCCTTATGCCTAGGAGATGCTCTGTTAAGAACAGAAAAAGTTGGCCAGGCACAGTGGCTCACGCCTATAATCCCAACACTTTGGGAGGCTGAGGCGGGTGGATCACGAGGTCAGGAGATCGAGACCATCCTTGCTAACATGGTGAAACCACGTCTGTACTAAAAAAAATAATAATAAATTAGCCGGGCGTGGTGGCGGGTGCCTGCAGTCCCAGCTACTCTGGGGGCTGAGGCAGGAGAATGGCGTGAACCCGGGAGGCGCAGCTTGCAGTGAGCAGAGATCACACCACTGCACTCCAGCTTGGGCAACAGAGCGAGACTCCGTCTCCAAAAAAAAAAGAAAAGAAAGAGTTGTATTCTCATCACCATTTCAGAGAGTCACATACTATTTACAGATAAACAAAGCAACTATTCAACTTCATTTGTCCCATTATTTTCCACACTTGTTCAACTATGGGTATAGGTCTTTCTACTACACAAGTTATTGGCATTTTGTTGGACACCTGTGCTCCAAGAAACACTGTGTGATAGATGTCGTGTGATTGAGTTGCCTGAACTGCTTCCCCAGTCCTAAGAAGTACACTTTTGTAACCATGTTTTCATGGCCCTGTCCTTCCCTAACCACCTGAGAGTTGTGCATTTGTGAAGCACTGCTCCCTCAGGGGGTTGAGGACACCATTCTAAGAAGTCCTTATGGGCCTTGTGAGTACAGAAAAGGAAGCTGGTCTGTAGGGGGAGAATAAAGCAGTCATGGGAAGAGATGCACTAGGCAGGGCTCCCACACTCAAATGAGTTAGGCAGGATGACAGAAGTGAGATGAACTGAATTCAAATTCAAATTCCGGATTCTTTCAACTAGGGGCTCTCAAAGTGGGATGCTCCAGCATCACCTGGGAACTCGTTAGAAATGCAACTTCCCAAGATCCATCCCAAGACATGTTAGAAACTCTGGGATGGGGCTCAGGAATCAGCATTTTTACAAGCCCTTTTGGGTAATTCTGATGCACGCTTTAGACTGCCTACCAAACTGTAGACATCTGACGAACAAATCCAAACCAGTCTGACAACAGGTCACCTCTGTTGAAAGTGAAACAGAACACAGCAGTACTGATTTTTAACGACCTTCCAGACCCCAGTTCTAGTTCCCCATGATTCCTAGTAACCCAAGTCCTGGAGCTGATCTTGCAGTTTCAAAAAATTTCTTTTCCTTAAGCTGGTTTTGTGGGCTTTTGTTGCTTGAATCCAAACAAAAATAAAACTGTACGAGTAAAATGAAGCAAACAAACAAAATCTGCCAAAAAGGAGCCCCAGTTCTGTCGCAATTTTGCCAAAAAGGAGTTGTGAGGCCTTAGACAAGTTCCTTCTCTCTAGGCTACAATTCTATCCCTTACCAAATGATGCAGTTGAACTGGATATCTCAGGGGCCTTCGCCCTCTACAATGCTGGCTTAGACACTGGCTCCTCTGGATAACCTCTTGGGGCTACAGATTCCCTAAGAAGGTTTTCCTAAATTTCTTTAGGAGAAATTCTTTCTAAGCTCTTGGGAGCTGAAAAAAATAAAAATAGAAAGCACTCAAGTCTCCACGTCTCTCTTTCCCTGTCGGTAAAAAGTGCAGTTTTATTAGAGGGATGCTTTAAATAATGAGGCTTATCTGACACTCCAATTCTTTTTCATTTTAAAATTAAACTTTAGCATATTATAACTGTACTCACTTCAATTAAGGCTGCCATCTATATCCCTAAAATGCGTACAGTAATAGGATACAATTATGCTTGCCAAAAAATTCTATTTTTTGCAGTTTGTTTCTTCAGAATAATGTAACTCATCTAAACAATCAATATTAAATAAAATGGCAAAGTATTTTAAAGATTTGACACAAGGAAAAAACCCTAAAATTGTAAAATAAATTGTAAGAATATCCTCTATTAAGCCCATAAACCCTGCATTATATAATTTCTTAGTTGACAAAGAAAAAAACCCAGTATTGTTTTGGCCCTTAAATTCCCACCCAAAGAGATTGTTCTCTGATGCTGAAACAAAAATGGTAACCAAATGCTTTGATAGACAACTCATTACAATGAGAACTAAAGCCTTCCAAAATAAGGCAAAGATTTTCCTGTATCTCCCAGATGCCAGGGAAAGTAAAGGAAATATTTCAGCCTTCCATCCCAAGAACGAACTCTGTATCTGTACTTAAAAAAAAAAAAAAAAAAAAAAAAGTGCCTTAAAAATGATCAAGCTCAAGGTACAGTTTTTTAAAAGCAGAAAATGTTCCCAAGGCAGTGTGAAGAAAAAAAAATTATTGAGAGAAAATGAAAAGAAACAAGGAGGAAGAAATCTTTCAACAGAGTAGAAACTGTTAGTCTCTCTGTCTCTCTGTGTCCCTGAAAGGTTTTGATCCAACCCTATTTGTTATCCTAGAAAAGCCCTTCTGAAGAAAGGTCTCAGTGTAAGAACTGCTTGAAAGAAGCCAACCCCTTGGAAATAGGAATGGCTTGGCCATTTATTAATGTCAAATATGCTGCCTGCATGAATTAGTCAGCTTGTCTTTTGGGAGTCATACAGAAAAGTTCTCGTGCACCTGCCTGTTAGTGTCTAACACTTCTGGTTTTAATGACAGCAGTAACAACTATCAGAAAATAAAATTTAAAAAATTTAAAAGCTAAATATTACTATATTCTACTTTGGGAACAGCTGATTCATCAATTTTTAAAGGCTTCTTACTGAAATATAATTAGTGACTACAGCATAAAGCTTGCTCAGATTTAAAAAGACAAAACAGAGTCATTTTCCTAAACTGGCAGAATTCAACCAAATTACCACAAAACTGACCTTAGAAACAAAGAGAAATGGAGCAGAAAAAGGCCAGATTTCTTACTGGCAGTACCACAGTGGCCAACATCCCAGAACTAAGAAAAGCTGCCAAGTGGAAGAGAAAAAATTAAAGGACTTTCCAAAACCAGCTAAGCCCAGTGCACACAGCATTCCCAACAGCCGGAGCCGGAGTGAGCTTCAGAAGCAACACACAGGTATAAGGTCCAGCTGTATTCTTTATTTACAGCACAGTTCAAAGTCATTAAATCCAGTACAAAAGAAATGGCTCTCACTTCCTGGATTGGCACCAGACATCCTACCAGCTGCAATTACATCATTTTTTAATCTATCTTCTGCTTTTACTTTGTGTAGGGTAGGGATGGGGACTTACAAATGGGCTAAAGAGACTTCAACCTCAAAGCCCAAAAGAAATCTCTGCTTGCAGAGATACAAAGAAAGTAACTCTCCCTCTTATGAAAAGCAATCAGGAGCTCTGCTCCAGTTATGAAGGCCACTGATGGTGTGGGAGAGTTATCAAGAAGATTCTTCCTAGACATGGTGCAAAGACAGTGAGAACCCAGGAAATCACATTCATGGGACAGTTGCTCTTACCGTCATCACCCTCTATTCTATCTCAACCTTGGCCCATCAAATCTAATGATACACAAGAGAAGGTAATTACACGTAGAAAACCAAAGTGAATGGGAATGTGGTGGTGAGAACATAAAAGAAGAAACTGAAAACAATCAAAAGTTTCTCAGTGCTGCTTTCCTGCACGGTCATAGAAATCTCTGATCCAATTCTTCATATGTCTGACTTCCAAGGCACGGGCTAACAGCACAGACGTGGGATCTAAGGCATTCTTGGCGCGCAGATCTAAGTGGTGGGCCCCCTCTGAGATGGTGACTGCAACCAGAGTGTCTGTGATATCCTTAGTTACTCCACCTCCTGACCAGGGGTCTAGTTCACCATTGCTGCAAGTAAAAAACAGAAGAAAAAATAAAGGTGTTAGTTTTTCATACTGACACGCAGATAAGCTAGGAGAAACCTATTATATGTTTACCACTTAAAATTATAAACTTGTAACCTGGGGGATTTGATCTGAGGACCTAATTTATCATATGGAGAGATGATTCATACTGGAGTTTTGCAATATTCCTGCAACCAGGTGCAAAAAAAAAAAAAAAGGAACCAGAGATGATTGAAGGAGGTGTTCCCATAAATCAACCTAGATTGTACTGGGATATGAAATTTAGAAACCTGAATTTCAATCCTGATTTCATCATTCAAAAGTTATATAATGCAAGTTACCTGACTCAGTTTCCTCATCTGTAAAATGGAGATAACAGGCCGGGCACAGTGGCTCATGTCTGTAATCTTTGCTCTTTGGAGGCCAAGATGGTGAATCACTTGAGCCCAGCTAGCCTGGGGAACATGGTGAAACCCCATTTTCTTAAGGAAGGGAGGAAGGGAGAAAGGGAGGAAAAAAGAAAGGGAGGGAGGGAGGGAGGAAAGAAGAAAGGGAGGGAGGGAGGGAGGAAAGGAGGAGGCTGCATTTTTTATCCAATACAGTACAGTACTTTGGGAAACAGGATAGTAGATCTGAAAAATGTCACCGGGATCTGGAATCCAAAAATTTGGGCATTACACAAAAATCTTCATTTTACATTAGCTTTAAAGTTAAGGAAATGCTACTAGGTTATTAGTCTCGACTAGTTCACACAACACAATTCAGAATAATGTAAAGATAATCAGTCACTAAAACTGAGTATTTAGTTTAACTGAGTAAAAAATCCAATACAACCACAGACAGCATCCCTAATAATATTTCTGAATAGTTTTGTTGAGATATAATTCATCTACCACAGAATTTGTCCATTTAAAATACACAATTCAATGGTTTTTAGTATACTCAGAGTTGTGCAACCAGCACCACAATCCATTTTAGAACATTTTCATCACCCCAAATAGAAACCGATACTCATTAGCAGTCATTCCCCACCTTCCTGCCTTGCTCTCAGCCCCAGGAAACCATGAGTCTATTTTCTGAATCTATAGATTTGCCTATTCTGGACATTTCGTACAAATGGAATTAAATAGTAGGTGGTCTTTTGCAACAGGTCTCTTTCACCCAGTGTAATGTTTTCAAGTTTCACCCATGTTGCGGCATGAATCAGTACGTGTTCCTTTTTATTGCCAAATAATATTTCATTGTACGAATACATCATATTTTACTTATCTCTTCATCATTTGATGCACATTTGTATTGTTTGCACTTTTTGGCTAATGAGTATTGCTCCTTTGAACATTCACATACAAGTTTTTGTGTGGATGTATGATTTCACTTCTCTTAGGCATATACTTAGGAATTTCTAGGACATATGGTAACAGCCTATTGATTAGCTGCCAGACTACTTTCCAAAGGGGCTACACCATTTTATATTCCCAGTGGCAACATTTGAGGGTTCCACTTTCTCTACATCTTCAACACTTATTATTATCTGTCTATTTTAGACATCCTAGGCTAGTAAGTATTAAACGATATTTCACTATGGTTTTAATTTGCATTTCCCAAGAGACTGATGGTGTTTAAACATCTTATGTGCTGATTGGCCATTTTTATATCTTCTTTGGGAAAATGCCCAGTCATATCTTTGCTCATTTTTTAACTAGAGTTATGTATCTTTTTATTTTTGACTGAGAGCTCACACTCTCTTAACTTGTGTGTTGCAGAGTAAGAAAAGCATGAGCTTTGGGATCAGACACACTTTGGTTCCAGTCTCAGGTCTGCCTCTCATCTACCTAATCTCATGGAAACAGATTCCTAAGGGAAAAAACTGGCACTGAAATACCTGGATCTAAGTACTCAGCCCATTGCAAACATTAGATCACTTTCCCCTTGTATGGCACCTCTTGGCATATCTTTATCCACATACCACTTGAAATAACTTACAGAACATTTTTATGTGTGTTCTGATATTTGTTTAATGCAAACTCCGTTTTGCTGGTATTGTTTATAAAGCCTTACCTATTCTGGATACAAGTCCCTTATTAAATATATGACTTGCAAATATTTTCTCCCATTCTGTAGACTATCTTCTAACTTTCTTGATAGTATCATTTGCAGCACAAGTTTTTCATTTTCATGAAGTTGATTTATCTATTTTTTCTCATTGTTTGTGTTTTTGGTATGGTAACCAAGAAACTGCTGTCTAACCCACAGTCATGAAGATTTATTCTTATGTTTTCCTTTATAAGATTTATCATTTTAGCCCTTACATTTAAGCCTTTGATCTATTCTGAGTTGATTTTTCTTGTTATGGTATGAAATAGGGAGCCAACCTCATTCTTCTGCATGCGAATCTCCAGTTTTCCCATCATCATTTGTTGAAAAAACTTCTTTTCTCAATGAATTGTCTTGCTACTTTTGTTGAAAATCAATAAGCCATACATGTAAGGTTTGACTTCTGGACACTTGATTCTCTTCCACTTGTCTATATGTCTATCCTTATGCCAGTATCACACTGTATTGACTGTAGCTTTGTAGTAAGTTGGAAATCAGGAAGTGTGAGTTCTTCAAGTTCATTCTTCCTTTTCAAGATTGTTTTGGCTATTCTGGGTCCCATATATTCCTATATGAATTTCAGGATCAGCTTGTTAATTTCTAATTTTTTTTAAAAAAAAAAAAAGGCCAGCTGGAAATTCAATAGAGATCACATTGAATCTGTGGATCAACTTGAGGAGTAATAGTCACCTTAATAGTATTAATTCTTCTAATACATAAACATGAGAGGTCTTTCCATTTAAAGGAAGCAATTTTTAATTTGTTTCCAATGTATACATCTTGCACTTCTTTTGTTAAATTTATTCCAAAGCATTTTATTCTTGATACTATTTAAATCAAATTTTTCCCTAGTATAACATATTATGCATAGATTGCATTCGTGTTTACAAAGCCTTTCACATGTGTTCACTGTAACAACCCTATGAAGTAGGTTTAATTACAATTCTTTTATAAAAGAGAAAACTAATGCCCAGAGAATTTAAAAGGCTTGCCAAAATCATTTGACTTAGCAAATCTGAGATTCAAACACAGCTCTAAAAACCCTAGTCCAATGCTTAATTTTATACTACGTTGCAATTCAGTGGAACCGTGACTACTGTTGAAAGTCGACAGCTTACGCTCTCTTGTGTGCTGCAAAGTAAGAAGAGCATGAGCTTTGGGATCAGACATACTTTGCTTCTAGTCCCAGGTCTGCCTTTCATCTACCTAATCTCATGGAAACAGATTCCCCAGGGGAAAAACTGTCACTAAACTACCTGGATCTGAGTATTCTGCCCATGGCATGTATTAGATCACTTTCCCCTCGAATGGTACCTCTTGGCATATCTTTACTACATACCACTTGAAATCACTTATAGGACATTTTTATGTGTGTCCTGATATTTGTTTAATACAAACTCCATTTTGCTGGTATTGTTTACAACAAAGCCTGAAATAAAAAGTCTTCAAGCTCACATTATCAAAGACATGAAATTATTCCCATAATTTGCATAATCATCAAAAAACTTCTCAACTATAAGTACAACCTATATATAGATGACTACCAAATAATGTATCTAGCCGGGATTGTTCCCCTAAACTTCAGAACCAAAGTTCAAATGTGAACTTCACATTTTTACATGGAAGTCAAATTAGACACTTGGCAGTTCCTGATGCTTCCCAAATGCCAACCAGCTCCTCCTGCCATCTTCCCCAATCTCTGTCAATGGGAAGTCTATCCTTTTCATTGTTCAGGTCAAAAAGTTTGATGTCACTCTTTAATCTTTTTGGTTTCACTCTTTAATTTTCTCATTGTTTAACACACAATCTGTCAACAAATCCTGTCATCTATATCTTCAAATATATCCATAATCTGACCATTTTGCATTACCTCCACTGCACAACCCTAATCTAAGTCACCATTATCTCTAGCCTGAGTTACTACAATAGCCTTTTAACTGACCTTCCTGCCTCTACCCTTGTCTCCCTGCAATTTAATATCAATAGAGCTGCCAACTTGATCCTGTTAAAACCTAAACCAGATAATGTCATTCCTTTTCTCAAAAAGCTCCAAGTTTTCCCATCTCATTCACAGTAAAAACCTAAGTCCTTACTAGAACCAACAAGTTTCCACATAATTCGGGCCCTCTGCTCCCTCCCTGATTTCACCTCCTATTACTCTCTCACTTATTAACCCCACTCCAGCCACACTGACCTTACTCCACCTGAAGAATAGGCTGGGGACACTTCTCTTTCAAGGCCTTTGCCTTCAGTTAATCCTCTTACTCCACCAACTTCATGGCTAGCTCCTTTACTTCCTCTATATCATTTTTTTAAAGTCACTCCTTGATGAAGTCTTCCCTGGTCACTCTAATAAAGTATTTCAACTGTTTTCCCTCCCTATGACATTTTACAGTCCCCTTCCTGGTTTACTTTTTTCTCCTTGTCACTTATATCCTTCTAACATATTTATAAGTTCTATCTTGTTTCATTTCCTATCTCTCAAACTAGAACTCCATGAGAGCAGAGATTTTTGTCCATATTGTTTATTTCTACATCTCCAAGTTCCTAGAAGCAGACCTGGCTCACAATAGGAGGCCCAAAAAATTTACTGAATGAACTTAAAAAGTGTCTAGTTGGCTGTGGCCACATACTGGATGCCCATCATAGACATCTATAAATACACATATGCAAGTTCATAAACACGCTGTAAATCACTTTGGTACTTTTTACGTGGGAAAGAAAAGTTCATATAAATGATTAATACAAATATAAAGAGACTGACCTTCAGCTGTGTGTTAATAGTGGAAAGAACAATGAATTCATTCAGTAGATCTAAGTTGTACATTTTTACTAGCTGCATGACTTTGGGTAAGTTACTGACCCCTGTGAACCTCAATTCTCATGTGGATTATAGAAAAAAAAATGTTT